TTGCCAATCAGTAATTACGTCTCTCTTGGCCCTTCAGGTCACACTTTATTAGCTTCATAAAAGATGTACAAAGAAGAAATGGGAATACGTTGCCAGGTTTGAGCTTCGATGAAATTCTAAGCAGAGTGACTGAACTCATTCTGGACCAGCAAAATAAGGTACTGTGGTGTATGTAGTTGCTGCCTTTTCTACTGTGCGTCTCTGACCGAGGAAACAGTGTAGCGCGGTCCAGACAAGAATGCAAACTTGCCTTTGTTGTCAAGCTCTGAAATATGAACTCGCTCCAAATTCTTTCCCACTACCTGTCTAGGCACCAGCTTCAACAGGGAGACCTGTGAAGTCGGTATCCTCTGCTTCACCAGCACAGGCTGGAACTCGGGGTCGGGAAATACCTGCAGAAGAAAACGTACTCAGCCCACCCAAGGCAAGACCTGCGCAGAAAAACGCCTCGAGTAAAAATCCGTCTCAGCCAAATCTCCAGCCCTGGGGAAATGTTGGAGCCACACCTAAATCTAAATGGAAAAAACTAAACTATACAGTAAGTTCTCCGCTGTTTCGATGAATGTGAAGTGATTGCCATGTACTACTTATAAGACATGAAATAATCAAAGTATTGCTGGAAAAAATAATTGACTTGTTAGTTTTGTGTACAAAAGCTTAAATATACCTGGTTAAAACTAGTAACGTCATTAACTTATTAGAATTTGCTGATTAATTGTTGCTAGCTTTCAAGTAACTTAACATTTTATGTACAGGCCTCCAGTGATGATCCTTGCACAATATGTCACGATGAGCTAAGCAGAGACTCGTGTGAACTAGAATGTGGGCATCATTTTCACAGAGAAGTAAGGATTTTTGTTCTTATCACTTAGATGTAAATGTTTACGAACTTTTGTTCACTTACGCTGTTGTTCCACTTCCCAAAAGCAGCCCTCCCTCCCCACCCTTTCAGTGCTTAAAGAAGAGGAGTGCACAATTTTCTTTTACATACTTTGTACACCAAGACTTGCTATATATACGGTCTTACTGTGTCAGAAAGTTTCCAGATTTAGATTTTTAACTACAATGGTAATTAGTCAGAGTGAATTTAAGCTTATTCTTCAGAGAATAACTTTGGTAGTCAAGTCACAGATTTGTTTGCAGCATACTTACAGAATGGGCTATCATTATAAACCCTGCATTTGCCACCTGATAGCAGTCGCACGTGTAACTTCATGTAGTAAGAAAGTCAGGATTATGTTAGAATCACTTGATATTTCTGTCTGTGGCTTTTTCCCCATTACCTTATTTGTTTACTGCCGATTTGTTACTGCAGAAGAGGTGCAAATGTAAATTGATCAGCACAGCGTCAGAACTGAAGAACAGTTTTCTAACTGCAAATTTTAGTAACATAGAACGTGCTGGAAAAGTGCTTACCTATTAGTGACAATTACGAACATACTTAAGCTGAACTCTTTATAGCGGACTTTGTTTCCTCAACATCTTCCTATTCTTGCAGTGCATTAGAACATGGCTCAAGCAACATTCAAGTACCTGCCCTATCTGCCGCGTTCATGCTCTCTTACCTGAAGACTTTCCTGAGCTTCCTGCACGGAACAAATATACCTAAACCTTCTTTCATTTGAAAAAGTTATAAGAAGATGCAAAGTGGCTGCAGAATAACCACTGTGATAAGCAACAGAAACGTGATGCCTAGAAAGAGACAGAACCCTGGTTTTATTGAAAATGGCAGTAGAACTCGGACTGATTCAGTATTTAACACTTAGCATTAAGCCGTAAGGTGCTGGTACTGCCACGGCACCTGCAGAATCAAGTCAGCACACTCCAAGATCCAGCACTTTTCCTGTCTGCTGCCTAAATGTGTGAAGCCGATGTAGCTCAGAGGCCAGCAGCACACAAGACCAGTAGAGTTGTTTTGGCTAAGGGATATTTAAACTACTTGTATCTACTTTTCTCAAAGGATGGTGCATAATTGCTGTAAAGAGGGGGCTTTCCTTCAGAGCTTACACCACACTGAAAATAAATTCTGATATCAAACAAGCAGGTGACCTGAATGACAGGCTAGCGGAATTTGGAACAGCCAAGACATTACCTTCCTCTGGCATAAACAATGACAATGTAACTGCAGGATTCAAATCAGGCTGCTTGTGATCACTGTGAATGGAGTTCATATAATTGCAGCTCCTTTCTCTGCATAAATCCATAGCTAATAATCCAAATTATTTAAACACTGTCTTTTAGTAATATTTTGAAGCAAGAATTTTTAAGTATTCATGCGATTCTTTCTGTTTGTGTATCATTGAGTTGGATACTGTGGCTCAATTCATTAATCTCGAAATCTGGTTTGAATTTCCCTCATCATTGAAGAGCTGATTTGTTTAAATCAGAATTACAGGATTTGTACTTTTGATGAAGCAACGCCGCATCGGTATTCTGTGCATCAATGTTCATCAACAGTGCGAGGTACAGAATACAAACGGCTGAAAGACTGGTTATCCTACTGCTTTAAAAGCTGGAGCTTGCCAGAGTACCTTCACCACTGTATAATTTGTCTCAAATAGCCAAAAGCTGAGGACTACAGAGTGTACAGCTTAACCACTCCGAAAATAGAGTATGTCTGTTGTTTGGATACAAGCAGTATTACATTGATTATATGAGATTCAAGTTAGCTAATTCTAGGGATCATTTGTTCCCCCAAGTATGTATCCTCCAGATAAAGCTTTAAACTATTCTGTGATTAATCAGTATAACTGGCACTTGGATCAAAAATAAAGTTACTACTGCAGCTGATGTGGGGTTTTTGTGTAATACTTTTTTCTGAGTTATTGGTGATAATCTACTATATGCTAGAGAGCCAAGGCACCTTGCTGCCTGAAGAATCCGGTACTGCCCTGCTCAGCGTTACAGCACTTGCATCCTTTTCAGCTTCCGTTATTTTCTTGGGGTGGGGGATACATCTACATCATCTGAGCTTTTCACAAAAGCAGCACAAGTCCTTGCCCCTCCGGACGCTTTTCCAGCACAGGGCTATCCTTGACCTGCTAAGCAGCACCAAAGCAGTCCCACACGTGCTGTAGGGGCCAGCGTGCCTGGAGGTGACAAGGGTAAGCTGGCTGTGGAAACAGCGTGTGCTCTGAGCACTGACCTGGTATTTACATACGCTTGCGTGGTATCAGCCAATCTTACCTTTCCTATACCCACAGCACAGCCAGGAGCCCAGGTTCCCAAAGAAGCGGGGTGGTTACTTTTCTTTTCCCTGACTCCCATAAGCTGGAAGGATTTTAGTGCTTTCCAGGGAGTTCATTCACACCTTTAAAAAGGAAGCCTTGGAGCGACAGCCCCAGGCCTGTTACTGTGCAGGGCGAGGGGCAGTTCTGCACTTTTGAAGTAAGGTTTGAAGGTGGGAGGGGACGGTGCCACTTTGAGCAGCAGGTGGCACTCCTATAACATCCTGCAAACCAGATAGAGTGGCTTTTGTTTTCTGAAAAAATCATCCTGTCTCTGTTCCTGATCTTAGGGAAGTGTTAAGTTCTAGTAAATAGCTGCTTTTATTTCCCCACAAGACCCTTGTAAGACATTGGATATTCTTATTTCAATGTTTATTCCTAACATCCAGATGGTACAGAACCAGGACCAAACCTAGAATTACATGTTCCTGCTTGGTAACGCTGCTGGATAAAGCTAGTTATTTTTGGCAGTTTTCTTAATTCTGTCTTTTCAGGTTGTTGTCTTTACACTTACTTATACACTGAGCCTGCCTCTACCCCACAAAATAGTGTATGGAAAATTCACAATTAGAATGAAAGTGTGGCTGGTCTGTTAACTTAAAACAACATCAAAATCTACAGCCTGTTTGTGTTGGGAAGGTTATTTCTTGCTGAAATCATTTTCCTCTATTGTTCCTTTAATGTATGTACCTTAACTTATTCCATTCCTGGCATTTACAGTTATCCTTTAAGTTGAACAAGTGACAATATTAACCCACCTAATTAGAAAGAGTGACTGTCTCCCTTGGCACGGTTATTCATATAATGACAAGTCATCTCCTAACGGCACAAGGTGCCACAGCGTATAAGTTTTTAATGGCAATTTTTCCACCCTCAGCACAGGCTGGTCTGCAGCAATTCAGGGGTGCTGTTTGTCACAGCACACTTTTTTCCCCATCAAAACCAAGCTGTAGAAGTCTTAGAAAAGGGAAGATGGCACCAGGACAGGTTTAGGTTGGATATTAGGAACAATTTCTTCACCAAAAGGGCAGTCAGGCACTGGAACAGGCTGCCCAGGGAAGTGGTTGAGTCTCCATCCCTGGAGGTATTTAAAAGACGGGTAGACGTGGTGCTTAGGGACATGGTGTAGTGGTGGACTTAGCAGTGCTACGTTAACTATCTTAGTTAAGATCTTAAGGGTTTTTTCCAACCTTAATATATTCTTTGCATTACCATAGAATCGTTCTCAAACTAAAAACTTTTGCCTGATCTTTTTTCTGTGCTATTTTACAGAGATTGCAAAGACAAAAGTAAGGGCGTTGTTTTTCTACCCCAGAGGAGAGCCCAGGGAAAAACCACACGCAAAACAACAGCTTCAGTTCTAAGCAGCCCTCCGACACAGCCTCAGAGTCCCAATTTGAGCAGAATACCCTTGGTGTTATTTCACATCCATCTTGCGATATTCATCCCACACCACCACCTTGCATTGTTGTAGCACCATTTATTACACCTTCAAAGATGCTATTCAGTATTATATTACAAGTCCCATGCCCCCCTCCCCCAGTATCTACACAGCATGTATAACAGGACTTACTCGATTTAAGAGGTCTTTAAAGGACTGACTTGGGAACAAGTATTACAAAATTTAACAAGGAGAGAAACTTGTAGAAATATACAGAATCATTCCTTCAGGATTTGTCTGAGAAAAAAATGGGGAAAAACGATGGTTGCTGAAGTCAGAAAGATACCCGACAAGGCTGCCTGGAGAGATACATCCACGCAGGCTGTCTTAACAAGATTTATAGAGAACTGAAAGCACAAGAACTGCCAGCAGGGAGAAGGAAGTGATGTGTTTTCAGTCAAAGTAAGACATGGATAAAATCTCACTTCTTTGCCTCTGAAGAATTTTGTCCTTTTTCAGTAAATCCTGAAGTGATTCTCCTCTGACTATTTACATCCTGCAGAGCTTCAGTGGGAAGTTCTCTGTGATGAGATGATCATCTTGCAGAAGGACAACAATGTTAACTTCAAACTCTGGAAAAAAAAAAAAACAAGCCAAGGAGTTCCATATTAATCTGAATTGTAGCAATTGGAGAGGGAGGCGGTTCCTGCTCTCAGACACAGCACTTCACAGGGCTCTTCCCAGCCATCTCAATACCCTGGGTTTCCCTGTGGCAGGGAAGAACCAGGCAGAACCTCACCACAGGCATCCCAAGACCTTGGACCATTCCTAGAGAACCGTGGCTTGTTCTCATCTTTGGGATTCCTCTGGATTGATTTCCCTATCACTGAAAAACTACAACATGCAGTCTTCTGGACAACAGGCAGAGTTCAGAGATCAGAGATCAAAATGTTTTGGGAAAGACGCCTCACACCAATACGCAGTGTTCGGAAGCACCTAAGTGGGAGAGTCAGGGAACAGACTCCTGCCCTGCTGTCGGCACGTGACACGGCCTTAGAATCCTCCATTACCTGTGGCCTTCGGAAGTTAAACACCAAAATACAATACACCCGCAAACTACGGAAAACATTTTTCAAAAGAAAAATCTACTCTTTCGATATTATATTGTGTCATTCAAAACCAAAATCAGTATCAGATCTATCATCAATCCTAAACGAAGACAGATTACAAAGTCGGGTACAGTTAATAAATGGAGGGAAGCAGAGATCAACATAAACTGAAAACAATTGTCCTTTTTTAGAATCTTCGTAACTATATTAAGACTGTTCTCATAAATAAAAGTAGATACTAACAGTAGCCATTTGTCACTGTAAATTACTATTCAATAGCTAGAAATGGCAAAAAGTAGAGAAGAATATTATTTTGGGGAAAATCGCTGTACACATCAGGTGCAAAAATGCTCTTGGGGGAACAGATAAACAGGTAGGCAAAGCTGAAAAATCAGTTGTGCACATTTGCCCCAGATACACAGCAGAAAAGTAGGAAGGGCTTCAGTTGGGAAGGATCCTAAAGGCTGGGACTTGTAGCTTCAATCTGATACAATAAAAAAAAGAACAACCAACAGATTCCAGCAAGATGAAGGGAAGAAAAACAAGCTAGCAAAGAGCATTTTTGCAGTAATTATTTGAACAAGTGAGGAAAACCCTAAATTTCAGGTGTTTGTGAATGATAATGTTGGATTTTGGCAATAATAAGCAGGAAGAAGCAGCTGGTGTAGATGAAGAAAAGCAAAGTCACATACAGCCAAACCTGACTTTTTCTGCTTCTGAGTCTGTGCAGCAGGAGAAGGGGAAACAAGAAGGAGGGGGAATGGAAAGAGGGGTTCTTGGTGGTGACGAAAAGAAGGAAGGGGTCATCTTGGCATTTTATTCTTGGGCTATTACTCAAGTGTTTAATCACATGTAATTTTTTTGGCAGAAAAATTTTTGGCACTGCTTCTCCTGTCCCTTTACCATATAATTCTATTAGTCAGAAGTAGCTTAATAGTTGCACAACTGTTTTTAGTTAGAAGTATTGGGGCTGTATTCTCTCAATCTACATGAAATACAGCAGACTGCAATCCTGTTCAGGAAACCTCTACAGGGAAACAGATGTGCGTCCTTGGTTCTTCTTGCAGTGCCAACAGTGATTTATCCCGTTACCTGCCAGAAGCTAAAGTGAAACTAGAAACGTATCTCGGATGAAAGGCGCCAACACAGCATAAAGTCCTACGCACTTACCAACTTTGAAGTTTGTTGTTTCCAGGGTAGGGCAGGTGAACAACCTGGGAAACACCATGTAGATAGGAATCGGTAGGCCCCGGCAGACATCTCCATCAGCGATCTGAATATTCTGTACCTCTGTGGCATCTCTGGCATAACCTTCCGCACACCCTGGGGAAAGCAGAAAATTCAGAAGGAGAGAAGAAGGAGAGAAGAAGGAGAGAAGAAGAAGGAGAGAAGAAGAAGGAGAGAAGAAGAAGGAGAGAAGAAGAAGGAGAGAAGAAGAAGGAGAGAAGAAGAAGGAGAGAAGAAGAAGGAGAGAAGAAGAAGGAGAGAAGAAGAAGGAGAGAAGAAGAAGGAGAGAAGAAGAAGGAGAGAAGAAGAAGGAGAGAAGAAGAAGGAGAGAAGAAGAAGGAGAGAAGAAGAAGGAGAGAGGGGGGGGGGGGGGGGGGGGGGCGTATGTGTGGGCAAAATATTTTGCCCTTTGACCTGCAAGTTTTCACATTAGGACTCCGAGTTAAGGATTGCAGAGATTATTTAAATTAATGTTTAGATTGTTCCACCTAAAGTGCAAAACGATTTTTTGCAAGTCTTTTTAATTGTATGGCTTTTTGACAGTCTTCCATATTTAAGGTGAAAGAGTGCAAGTGGTAATTACTACGCATTCCATTTACAGAGAACCTTACCACAGGTTTCCACGCGTACTAACTGCAGCTCAATGCTTTTGACTGCAGCCTCTGCGTTCTCCACTACCAGCTCCCCTGTTAGTGGCTGTGTAATGATACAGTTTGTAGAACTGAGATGACCTCTGATGAGAAATTTTGGAAGTGAAGCTCTCTGAAAGGAGGGGAGGGGGGGGGGGGGAAAAAACAACCAAAAAAAAAAAAACAAAAAGACACAACTGTAAGAGCAGACTAAGAAAAAAATACTTTACAGAAAGACAGTTCTCAAAGTAGATAGGAAATCCCCCAAAGTTGCAAAGTTAACTCAAAAGGTCAGAAATGCCTCAAGTAACTTAAATAATATAACTCTCTAAATATGCATCCTTACGCAGATGCATTACGGTAACTTTTACTACCCTCCCCCCTCCTCATTCCATCCACAGGAGCACTTTTCCTGGGATGAACTGGCCAAACTCGGCTATTACAATTAATCCAGAAGTCAGGAACCACATGGTGAAGGAGGCAGGCTGGCAGCAACTAACAGGATAGTCCAGTTAAATCAGCTGGCGGTGCTCTAGAGAACTGTGTTCTCGTCCCATTTTGTTATGGATTACAATGTAGCCTATCATATCAGTGATTTTCCCACCTTTTTTACATCTCATGGTCGCTATTGGGAGGGAAGACAGGCATTTAAAAATCTTCATTTAATGCAAAATGTAGCATACTGCTTATGTACCAAGACACCAGTTAAGGACAATTAATGAAGAGCTTACTTTGAATACAGGATCACACTTTTAAAACTTTCTTAACAGCAAGCACATTTCCTACTTTTTAAAAGAGGAGCAGTAAGAATAGCTGATCGAGGAGGACAGTCTATAAATCACTTTCCATAAAAGACCAGAGCAGGGGTTTTGCTCCCCCTGCCCTCCCCTTTCTCAGGCCAGCTGGCATCACGGATACCCACTGCCAGCAGAGAAACTCATATGCCAGCAGCTCCAGTTACATTTCAAGTTCTGGCAGGAGGCATACTGAAACAGTTAAGTTTACCCATATCTTCAGCTCCTATCTTCATCATCCAGCTTTCTTCAAACTCCTTGAGCATCCCGCTCTAACCTTCCCCTTTCTTCAAAAGCCTTCTTCTTCTCTCCCTCCTTAATTTTTTGTTACTGACATCTTTGATGTTAGCCCCTACCTTCCAATCATCTGCTCATGCTTGCTTGTGGCGTCGGATTTCCTTGCCCATGTAACTGATTTTCCCTTCTTCCAAACCAACTCTCTTGTCGCAAACTTTTTTTCCTCCCAATCTGTTTGTTTCGCTTCTTAGTGCTGGCTGCCAGTAGCAATGGCAGAAAAGTTCTCCTCAGCTATTGTTTAGACTGTTTCGCTCAGATACCCAACACCTCTGCAGAATTTAGCTGTTCCACTCAAAACAAATCTTTGGGGGAAATAAAGAGAGAGGAATTTTCACGTGTTTAGTAAACATGACCTCACGTGGGTGTTTTCTCCTAACTTAAATAACAGAAGTTACATCCCTGACAAAACCACCCTATGAAATACTGAGTCCTAATAAGGTATTATTAAAATGCTTTTTTTATTGTATGATCCCTTACAGGTTCTTCTCATCACCACTATTAGGAAACACAGAGTTGCTCCCCTGCTTCACAGGGACATCACATAGCTATCTCCCCTTAAGTATAGTCATCAGGAGTCTAAGAGACAGAGAACTTATGGAACAAGAACTCGAGGCCATTTTCCTCAATCCTAGTCTACGAGATGTGTTTTTTTAAAGGTATATTTCCCCTAGAGCCTTACTACTCTTGTCAGTACTCTCCATATTTTAACCCTAGCTACGTCTACTCTCATAGGACCTATCATTTACACTCTATTTCATAATCTCCCAAAAAAAAGAATCAAGAACATACAAGCAAATCTATTCTGGTTTTTCATCTAACCTCTCTGTGCTTTTCTTGGCTACTGCAAACCTCCTAATCAGTTTTCTAGTAGTCTACCAGAAATTATAGTTCAATCACAATCTCCAGACAAGCAGAGAATTGAAATTTTAGTATTTTAAATATACCAAAACAGTGACTTTTTCTACCTGTCCACCAGGTAGTCCCTTCAGACCCATACATTTTTCTGAGACAGGGAGAGGAATATTAAAAAAAAAAAAAAAAAAGCCACTGCTTGTGCTACCATACACATTCAATACCATTCTTGAGACAGCTCCACAATTAAATACCAAGATACGCAGGATCAGAGATGTCAGAAGTTTTACAACCCACTTTTGTGGTTATGTACTTGAAAGAGAAAGGCGCAGAGTCTGCTATTAAATTTAAAGAGCTTTTAATGGACAGGACTTTCTCATGACGTACACCACTGAGTCTTTGCTAAGCCAATGACTAGAGTATCAAGACACAGAAGAGAAAGAAGAAAGAGAAAATAATTTATACGGAAACATGGTTTACAGGAGTAGCAGACTGCTGAGAGCTTAGTATTTAGCAGTAGTTTCAAAAGTAATTTTACCACCAAGAACAGTTATTATATCTTTATATTTGGCAAAACATATGCTTTCAGTGTACAGCAGTCTCGAGAGACATGAGAGGCTGCTGGACACAACCTGCTCATCCTCTAACTCAGCTGGATTTAGAGTTCAGCCATGACAGCTGGTTGGTTTTCTAGAATCACCTCCTCCGTGCTCAAGAATGGTCTACTCCAACCTGCAGAAAGTCAAGCAAAGGTAGGAAGAGACCTGCATGGATGAACAAGATGCTACTGATAAAATCATAAACAGGAAGTATACAAAAGATGGAAGTAGGGTCAGGTGACCCAGGAGGAACATAAAAACACTATCCAAGTGTGCAGGGATGGTTTTAGGAAAGCCAAAGCCCACCTGGAGTTAAATCAAGAGACATGAAGGGCAACAGAAAGGGGCATCTACCAGTCTATCAGCTGCAAAAGGAAGATGAGGGTAAATGTCAGCCTGCTACTACATGACCTAGTGACAAAAGACACGAAAAAGACAGAGGTACTAATGTCTTCTCTGCCTCGGACTCTACTGATAAGATTTGCCTTCAGGAATCCCAGGCCCCTGCAACCACAGGGAAAGTCTGGAGCAAGGAAGAGTTATCCTTGGTAGAGCAGGAGCAGGTTACAGAACATTTAAACAGACTGGATGTACACAAGTCTATGGGATCTGATAGGACGCACCCACAAGTGCTGAGGAAGCTGACCCATGTCACTGTGAGGCCCATCTTGATTATCTTTGAAAGGCTGTCATGAACAAAGAACATTCCTGAGAAATGGACAACAGTAAACGTCACTCTTATCTTCAGTTGGGAAGATCCAAGGAACTATAGGCTCGTCAGCCTTGCTTCAATCCCTGGGAAAGCAATGGAGCAAGTAACGCCAGAAGCCATTTCCAAACATACAAAGGACAAGAAAGTGACTGGAAGCAGTCAGCATGCATTTATGGAAATGAAATCATGCTTAACCAACCTGATAGCCTTCTACGATGAAATTACTAACTTGGTGGACAAGCGGAGAGCAGTGGATACTGTTTATGCTGGTTTCAGCACTGGTTTTGATACTGTTTCTCCTAAGAACCTCACTGACAAACTGATGGAGTACAGAACAGATGTACAGATTAGACACCAAGGTGGACTGAGAACAGCCTGAACTGCTGGACTCAAAGGTTTGTGATCACTAGCACAAAGTCCAGCGGAAAGCCAGTCACTAGTGGTGTACACCAGTGTCTGGGGTCAACATTGGAGACAGTATTACTTCACATCTTGATGATGGCTTGGATGATGGGACAGAGTGTGTCCTCAGCAAGTCTGCAGATAATACAAGACTGGAAGGAGTGGCTGGTGAACCAGATCATTGCACTACCCTTCACAGGGGCCTCAACAGGCTGCACAAATGGCCTCACAGCATCCTGCGCTGCATTAGAAAGTGTTGCCAACAGGCTGAGGGAGGTGATTCTCCCCGCCTTTCCAGCACTGGGGAGACAAAACTGGGGACAGTCTCTCCAATTCAGGACTTCGCGGTACGTGAGACACAGACTTACTGGAGCAAGGTCAGCATTTGCTGGGTTTGGCCATGAAGATGGTTAAGAGCACATGACGTACAAGAGGAGGCTGAGAGCTGGGATTGTTCACCCTGCAGAACAGAAGGCTCAGGGGGATCTTATCAATACGTATAAATACATGACGGGAGAGAGAAAAGAAGATGGAGTCATACTCCTCTCAGTGGTATGTAGTGAAAGGACAAGAGGCTATGGGAACAAATCAAAATAAACGAAATAACTTTTAAATTTTTTATTTATTCATTTCTTAATCCTGTGAGGGTGGTCAAACACTGTAACATTGTCAAGTGGTTGCAAGTCTCCATCCTTTGAGATATTGAAGGCTTGACTATACATGGCCCTGAGCAACCTGCTCTAGATGACTCTGCTCTGAGCACAGGGGCTGGATGAACCAACCTCCAGAGGCTCCTTCCAACCACAATAATTCTGTGAATATGTAGAATAAGGTCGACAATAGCATGAAACAACCAAACAGCTGATTAAGAGGTCTGTTTTGAGAAACAGGTGGAAGAAGAGGTCTAAATTCAGAAGTCTGGGACTAAGAGCAATGGAAGACAAATTTGGGATGCAGAAGGGAGACCTAAAGCAGGAAAGGAGTCTTATAAACAAAAGGAGCACAACAGGAAAATCTGGAAAAACAGATTTCAGTGGACAAATCGAAACGAGTGTTCAGAAAGCTAAATGACCAAGACAGCTACTATTGTTCATACAGGCTTCCCAAAGCCACATGGGGCTGTAAAAAAAGGCATAACCAAGAATCAAAATATACCTTTTTAAAGGATTTTGTCTACACGTGGTATAGAATGTTTTCCCTTGCTTCACTGCCATCTTTCGCTCAGAAAAATGATAAAAATGTTTAACCGTTACCAAACAAATTTCCACCTTATATTAGTCACCACTATCACAAGAGATCACTTTATTGCTTACAAAAGTAAAAAAGGAGAAAAGGAAGAAAAAAAAACGTGATTATCTGCAGGGCAGTATTTAATAATTCCTCTCTTGTTCTCACACAGAATCATACAAGCATGACATTTAAAATGAAATAATAAGAAAACCCTTACCTCTTTAACATTTTGCAAAGTTTCAGGAGTAATTGTGAAGTCTACTGGGCTTGGCATGAGTTTCCCTTTCTGTGACTACATGTAATGAAAGAGTTAAGCTGTAAACTATGATTTACAAAACACACACAGAGAATACTAGAAAAAGACAATAAAGTCAAGCAGCTGTTGGACATGTTAGTTTTCAGGATTGTCTTCATACTGAAAGTATGCATCTATGTAATAAAAAACCTGAGACTTCCTGACTATGTTATTAAATAACATTATGATATTGTCTAAATACAAGTCACAACGCATCACAAATCTGAATTGTAGAAACAGAACTGTGTCAATTGTTGGTTACTTTGTGTTTGCCATTGCAGTAAACAAGCTTTCCATCTGCAAGTTTTTGGCATAAGCTCTAGCTACACTGAAAAAAAAGGAAAACAAAACCAAAACATGTGGTTGACTGCTCTAAACCACCTGGAAAAGAAGAAAAATATTACCTATCTGAAGCATATGGTATGCTATAGAAAAAAAGTTAAATTTCACATTTCTGTATTTACAAATAATTACATTATATGTGTCACTTGCAACATTTCCTTTCATTTTTAATATTTAGTAAATTTGGGCAGGGGAAAGAAAGGGAGATTATAAATGAACTTGCTCCATTGCTTCAAACATGTTTCATAAACCCTCCCTCCCTCTTGTTATCTCTGAGCATTTTGAACTCTTTCTGCTGCCTTCGTCATATTACTAGGAGATCCTCAGCTGATGGAATCTAGCGTAGCACTGATTTAATGGCCTTAGCATTCCAGCTTCTTTAACTGTAAAATAAGCAAAACTTGGTCCAGGTTAGCTTTCCACACTGGAGAAGCAATACTGGGGGCACATTATTATAGTTCTTCAGTATCTATTTACACCATTTATCACAAACCCAATAAGTTAAGTCCTTCCGTAAGTGGCTGAATGGGCCCTGAGCTCTGCCGAGATGGCAGTCTGTGCTCTGCATCAGGAAGGCAAGCTTCGCTTACCATTCACCAACCTCCCTCTCCATCCTTATCTCAGTGAGGTGCACTGTCTTTTAGCATCAATTATGAGAGACCCAACTGTATGTAACTGGGAGTTGGCAGAGCACACCACCGAGCTTAACTTAAATTCTTAGTTAGGATCTACCCTCACTACTTAAGAATTCAAAATAGCTTCTGCTGCCCAGTTGCAAGACGGAAAATATTAGCAAAAGATTGACTGTATTTTCCCATAAATGACAAATTCTGGCAAAGAATCAGGTTAAGGGAAATGGTACATTGAGCACTGACAGTGAGAATTATATGTTCAGTAAAACCTCATTAATTCACCCTGACTGAGAGATTCATGATTTACTGACTTGTGATCTAAGAAGTGCTGTAGTGGGAACAAGAAAGAAAACCAGGAAACTGCATAATATGTAATTTGTTCACTATTTTGACAAGTGTGGCTTACTTATAATGTAATAATGGACCAATAAAATGTAGCATAACGTATTTTAGAAAATAATGAAATCTTACCAACAGGAAACTTCTTTTAGCACCTAGCTAAATCTTTAAGAAAGGTACTAAATCTTTAAAAAAGGTACTATAGAACTAAAATAACACATTTCCACCATTATTCATAAGTAAGACAAAAGAGTCTAATACTTTACTGTCCTGTTAGAGTTCAAAGGACTGATACAAACAGTACGTTCTAGCAAGTTGCGGGTGGAAAATAAGATACTTAATTAGGTCTGCACAGTCTGTACTTACATCAGATGCTCTGGACACGCGTACAGTTAATATAAACTAAAACCCAGTCTGATACAGGAACTTCAGATAACAAGCAGCAAAGCATTTTTTGTGAGACAGTCAAATCTCATCCCACAATATCGCCACAGGAGAAAGGCTGCCTCCATGTTGCCAGCCACAGGATGTGGATATTTGTTAACCTAATTGTCTTAGCATATTGCCATCCATGGGCTTACTTAATAGCAAAGGTGATTAAACTGACAAGCTTCTTATTTCCAACTTGATGCAGTCCCAGCTTTGATACTTTGAGTCAGGGCTCTAAATCATAATTAGTCATCTAAAGAACAGAAATCAGGTATTTTCTCTTCACCAACAAACTCCCATTTCTAGGACAGGCATTGCGGGTGCCTGGAACCTTTGGCTAAGAAATGCTCAACCAACCTGAAACACTGTTTAGAAGAACACCATAATATTTATCTAACCACACCGTTGTTTCAGAACTGAAGGGATGAATAAGAGAATAAACTCAGTGCAGTATAAAAACATCTTATAATCCAAATCCTCTTTGTACTATTTTCTTTAAATGAAGAGAGAGATCTGTTATTCTAATCAGAAGCAACTAGCTCTTCTGTATGTTTCTGTTTTGAGGCTAGCTTTCTTTACTCATACATATCCCGTCTGTTGCTATTACAAATTACATGGTTTTACTTGCTTTTCTAACCTTGCAGGCAAACTTCACTTAAAGTGTGTGTGTGTGGGGGAAATCTCACTTTGGATAGTTAATACAAACCACACTTACCAGTGAGTGGACAATGAATTCACAAGTCTTAGTTAGGTCTTTTGCCAGCAGAGAACGTCGCATATCACACCGTAGGGTATACTGGCAAGAAGAGGATGGCAGAGAAAAAGAAGAGAGCCTTAGTTAAGATTTCCTCTGCCTCTCTTAACTTTTCATCTTTTTATTGCATATGTGCAGAACGTTACTGTTTTTAATATTTAAGGCATTGTTTAGAACAGATAAGTAGGCAACATACATACCAGTGATGAGGAGAGGGGAAGGAGATAAGAGGTATACAATGATTTTAGATGCTCCCAAATGAAAGCTGATTTTTTTGTGTTTACAGTCTCATCGCCATTTGCAAATGCTTTCCCTATCTTCTGTGTTACGTAAAAACCTATGAGATTGAGGGACTACTTCACTGACACATAGTAGTGTTCTTGTATGGCTTCCACACTCAAATTACATTCAGTTAGAAGTGATTACGGTATTGCTTTTCATGATACTTTGGATAAGTGATTATCAATAAGACATATTCACAGCCCCTCTAATTTTAAATTTATTGTAAGACTGAATTCAACAGTGGTAACAGTTGCATGCATAATTAATGGGGAACTGTCTTTAACCATATAGCTGAACTTAAAAGCAGCCTCGTGCAGTAAAGTCAGGCAACAAGGTTAATTTTGCTGTTCGCTGTTCAAAAACTTACTGCTGATTTCATAGAATCATGGAATCGTTAAGGTTGGAAAAGACCCTTAAGATCATCGAGTCCAACCGTTAATCTTTCACTGCCAAGTCCACCACTAAACCATGTCCTCAAGCACCACCTCTACCCATCTATCTTTTAAATACCTTCAGGGATGGAGACTCAACCACTTCCCTGGGCAGCCTGTTCCAGTGCCTGGCTACCCTTTCGGTGAAGAAGTTTTTCCTAATATCCAATCTAAACCTCCCCTGGCGCAGCTTCAGGCCATTTCCTCTCATCCTATCACTTGTTACTTTGAAGAAGAGACCGACCCCCACCTCGCTACAACCTCCTTTCAGGTAGTTGTAGAGAGCAATAAGGTCTCCCTTGAGCCTCCTCTTCTCCAAACTAAACAGCCCCAGCTCCCTCAGCCACTCCTCATAAGACTTCTGCTCTAG